GGATTTTTTATTTGGGTTTGGGTTGATATTTGGTTTCAATTGGCATTATGGATGCTTAATTTTGGTTTGTAATTATATTGAATTTTGATTTGGAATTGAAATTGGGCAAGATTGGGATCAATTGGGCCAAGATTGAGGCTAATTTGTGGAAATTGGGCCTTTAAGGGCAATTTGGGGCTTTTGGTCAAAATGGGTTAAATTTGTCAAATTGGGTCAATGTGATGGTTCAAAGTTGAAATCAGGAATATTTGGGATGATTTTGAAATTTCTACGAAATTTTGGAATTTTAAAAAATTTTGGGTCATGAGGGGCATTTTGGTAATTTTAGCAAATATGGGGGTATTTTGGGGATTTTAGAATTTTGGTGAATTTTGGTCAACTTAGGTAATGGAGAATGATTTGAGGTGAATTTTGGTCAACTTAGGTAATGGAGAATGATTTGAGATGACTTTTGGACAAATTTGGGTCTTTTGGACAATTTTGGGAATTTTGGCAAAAGTTGGGGTTGTAGGGGTATTTTGGTAATTTGGTGATTTTGGGCTAGGATGGGCAAGTAAGTCATGAAGCCATGTAAAATCAATAGGAGCCATATGAGGGCTCATTTTGGATGCTCAATATGCTGGTCTTAACATTGTTAGCCAAGGTTAGGGGTTTGGATCCATCCGTATGAGCTCTCCAAAAGGAGTTAGGAGACCAAATCAAAGGGTCTTAGGGTTTGGGGGGCGTGAGAAAGTGTAGTATGTGCAAGCTAGCTTAACCAAGACCAGACCACCAAGGCTTAATTCTAATGCTTGACCATCCTATGGAAAGTTTCCTTGAGCTTCACCATATTGACCCCATCTACTAAGTGTTAGAGGTTATGACCAATATGTGAAACTTCAAGTTGAGCAGAAAAGAGTGTAGAATCTCTAATTGTGAGGGTTCATTTTCTATTCCTTTAGGAATAGTCAACAGGGAAGTCCTATGGCTAGACCCTAGGCTACTAAGTAGGAAAAGCTAGACTTCAAACAAAAGTAAGGTCAACAATCACATTCAAGATGAAAACTAGGAAACTAAAATATATATATACATTAGGAATGCGTTAGCCCAAATCTCAAAGAGATCCAACGACACAAAAGAAAAGAAGTATAATGAATGAGGGCCCACTAACGGAACACCAAAGAACCCATTTACTTAACCAAAATGCAACCCACTAAGCCAAGGCTAGTAGTTGACTAGATGCAAATCACCTCAAATAAGGACTAAGGCAAATCGAGCCAAGAAAAAGCATCAACCTACTTGTCGTCGCAACTCTACTCAAGGAAAGAGTTCAATGTCACTAACAGTCTCATGGACCACCCAAATATTCCTAATCAAGGGCCAAGTGTTGGCAATAACATAGCCCACAAACATCTTGAAGAACCCCCTTTTCAAGAATTGAGTTATCTATCAGATTATGGTGATTCATCCTCTACTCAATAGTCTAGTCTTAGTCTGCTGAAAGAAGCTCTTAATCTAAGGACATAAGGTTGATGGTTAGGCTGGCAACGTCATGCCAATGAAAGAAGACCGATAGACATAAAGTTTAATAAGATCAACTGACCTTCTATGCCAAGTCAGCATAGTAGGATGAGCAAGCCTTACCAAATGAAGCTTAACAAGCTCGATTGATCGAGGCAGAAATGTAGACAGAAGGTAGCTGAGTCACAGGTTGATATACATAATATACATATAAAATCTTGTAACACCTTGATTAAAGCAAAGACAAACATGTAGCCTCTCATATATCTATCCCATTTTATATAAATAGGGAGACCATTTTTTGAGAAATGTCAAATTAATAAGATTTATTACTGCTCATTACTATGCACCTTTCTCTCTCTCTCCCGCTCTCTTCTCTCTCTATTGTTTTATGTTCTAACACTTGAGATGTAATTCACGGACAAATCAAGATCCAACATAGATAAACAAATTTCATAATTTAGGTGTAAGAAACATAAAATCATAAGAATTATATAGATTTTATCACTCATTCTTATTTTTATTTTATGCAAGATACATCTCATTCTGACCTAAGAAAAATTTCTCCCTATTTTTTTCACAATATAAACAAATTATAAAAAAGGGAAAGTTATAACCTAAGTAGCAAGACTGAATCTCTTCATATGAAGGATATGATCAAGCTCCAAACATGAAATCAACGCACCACTCCCACTAGATGGCAATCGGGTGCTAGCAACTTCTTGAATCTGAAGCGGTTGATGAGCACTAACAGCTTCTTTCTTTGCCTTTTCAACCAAGAAGCCTTGATCCAAAGAAGGATGTTGAGTCGACGGGACAACACCAGAGCAGCTGCTCTACCTCTACTATCCATCTGATCTTGCCTCAATTGAGAAGCGTAGAGCAAATCAGACTACCATACTTGGTCCACCTACACGTTTATTTTCTTCCCTTTGATGACAAAAGTCTCTTCCTCTTGCCCTCTGGACGTGGTCGCCCCTTTGACATCCCAAATACCATATGAAGTGCCTTTCTGTCATGGAGCTCAACATAACTGTTTGACAATTTCTTCGTAATAGAGATTGGAAGCCTATCAGCTCAGACAAATAATGCGGAGCAAATCCAACATTTCAAAAGAGCCCCATCATGAGAACATAATTAAGGAAGTTCAATTATTAAAGCTCTGCTTATGAAATAAATGATATATATTTTAAAACTTAATCCTTTTATTCTTATGTAAGCATCACTTTCAAGATAAAAATTGGAAAACTAAAATATATATATTAGGAACGCATTAGCACAAATCTCAATGAAATCCAATGACACAGAAAAAAAGGAAGTAAACTGAAGGAGGGCCCAATAACGAAAGTCCAAAGGACCCACTTTCTTAACCAAATGCAACCCGTGAAACCAAGGCTAGTGGTTGATTGGATGTAGACCAGCTGACATAAGGACAAAGGTTAATCAAGTCAAGAAAAAACATCACCTGCTTATAGTTGCAACCCTACTGAAAAGAGTTCAGTATCATCAACAGTCTCATGGACAATCCTGAGAATCCTCATCAAGGGCCAAGAATTGGCAATAACATAGCCCATAAACATTCTTAAGGACCCCCTTGTCAAGGAATGAGTTATCTATCAGGTTATGGTGATTCATCATTTACTCGATAGCCTAGTCTGGTTCTGTTGAGATAAGCTCCTCATCCAAGGATATAGGGTTGATAGTCAAGCTAGCTCAGTCGATGGCAACATCTGGCCAAACAAAGAAGACCTACAAACCTAAATTTAGATAAGATCAATCGATCAGCTATGCCAACTCAGCATAGCCTACTGAGCAAGCCTTACCAAACCAAATTCTATCAAGCTTAATTGACCGAGGCAGAAACCTAGACAGGAGGTAGCTGAGTCATAGGTTCCCATACATAATATACGTATAAAATCTTGAAACACCCCAATTAAAGCAGCGACAAACATGTAGCTCCACATATTCAAGAAATGACAAATCAATAAAATTTAATACTACTAATTACTATGCACCTTTCTCTCTCTTTCC